CGCTGTATGAACCCTGACCTCACCCAGTTCACTCCGTGCAGGTGGAAGCGGCTCCGGGACACCAAGAGGGTTCCTACGTAAATTAGGGTTCATGACAGAATGTGATGCGGCCATTAAGAACCACACCTGTGCTGAGTGTAAAGCCACAGGAAAAGGCTTAGGCTAGAAGGGTAGATGCAAAAGAGCAGCGCAGCCTCTCATAGACGAGGAAATCCGACGCGGGTTTAAAAGGCAGATTCCCTCCTTAAGTCCCGTGTGTGAAGGGGGCTGCAGAGCATCGTCCTCTGGAGCACTTGTGCTTTGCTTCCCAGCATGCCATCAGTTTCGCTCAAACAAACTCTTTAAAACATTAAAAAAGAAAAAGGTCAGCTAGCAAAGGATGAAAGGCAGTGTTCTAATAGTTACAGCAATGTTTCTGAGAAGCAGGGTTATTTTTAATTTCCTTTTGCTATGAATGGAGACTTTTCTGGTAAACACCAGGTGGCTGATTCCCTGCCTCAGTTCCCCAGAACCACCAGAACACGCTATAAGACTCTATGGCTCATTGTCCTCCGCAGGGCACGTTTCAGAGTGAAAAGGGTCGCTGGGCCAAGATTCATACCAGGACTTGGCCAGGCAAACCAGGACTTGTGGTCACTCTACCAGGCCAAGCCCGGCCGCACCTCTGCCACGCCCCACTTCAATCCCCTGTGGGTTCTGAACGGACACAGCCACCCTGTGGTGGAGCTGGAATGCGAACCCAGGCTTTCTGTGTTCTCTGCTCTTAGCCACTTGGGCAGAGAGTTTATTCTGACCATTACTCCTCAATGCTCGGCAAATTAAGCACCAATTACTTAACCTTTGTCACATTAAAGGGGGAACTGTGCAGATTTCTATCTTCCTTGATGGAAAAAGGCTGGGTCTATGTTACCCTAAAATATGCTCAATGTTGTGGAGGACTTCAGCTCAGGGGACCCTGAGCAATCAGAGGCTGGCTGAGCCAACAGAAGTTGTGGACCTGAAACAGGACTGAGAAACTAGAGGAGGTGGGGCCATTTCCTTGGCCAGGACACTTCAGCCACCTGGAGACGGCGAAAGGGCATGAGAGCATGAAGAGAGCAAACGCGCTGAGGGATTCTGCTCTAGGCACAGAGATGGGTCACTTATCTTACTGAATTCGACAATTCACTGGAAAAGCCAAGCGAATTGTCATTTTACCAGCCAGGGACCTAAGGGCTCAGGGCGGTGAGGTGACTGGCCTCTGAATCCCAGGCTGACTCGGGGATTGTACCATTGCTTGGACCACGAGAGAAGCTGACTTTGCCAATCTTGGCCCAACATAGAGTAGGAACTCAACTAATGTGCTTAGAAACCAACCGATGGATAGACACAGGCCAGCTGGCTGGCTAGGTGGATGGGTAGGTGGATGGATGATGGGTGGATACTAGGTGTACCAGGTAATAATGCGGATTTTTTCAATAGATGGAGTTACACATATGTTGATATATATGTGATTTGATATGTCTGCTATTTTGTTGTATTGACAACAAGCTTCGAAACTTCATATGTCAAATTTTCTAAAGGTGTTAACATCATAGATATTTTTACGTTTAAAAATGTCGAATAACATGCCAAAAAAAGAGCATTTGCAGGAAGTTTTAATTCATTACTTTATTTTGAAGAAAAGTGCTGCTGAAAGTTATTGTATACTTCGGGAAGCTTATGGTGAACATGCTCCATCTCAAGATACTTGTGAACGCTGGTTTAAACGCTTTAAAAGTGATGATTTCGATGTGAAAGACAAAGAACGTCCAGGTCAACTGAAAAAGTTTGAAGACCAACAATCACAAGCATTATTGGATAAAGATGCGTGTAAACTCAAAAACAACTTGCAGAAAGATTAAACGTTGCTCAGCAAACAATTTCTGATCGTTTACAAGCAATGGGAAAGATTTTAAAGGAAGGAAAATGGATGCCACATCAACTGAACGAAAGACAAATGGAAAACCGAAAAGTCATCAGTAAAATGTTGCTTCAACGGCACGAAAGAAAGTCCTTTTTGCATCGAATTGTGACTGGTGATGAAAAGTGGATTTATTTTGAGAATCCCAAATGGACAAAATCATGTGTTATTCCAGGTCAACCATCAACATCGACTGCAAGGCCAAATCGCTTCAGAAAGAAGACAATGCTCTGCGTTTGGTGGGATCAGGAAGGTGTGGTATTATGAGCTTCTAAAACCAGGTGAAACCGTTAATACTGATTGTTACCGATAACAAATAATCGATTTAAACCACGCTTAGATCGTGACATCAACCATGATGTCACCACAGAATGGGCCAGAAGACATTGCATAGTAATTTTGCTTCATGATAACGCACCATCACACACTTCAAAACCAGTTAAAGACTTTCAGCAGCACTTTTCTTCAAAATAAAGTAATGAATTAAAACTTCCCGCAAATGCTCTTTTTTTTGGCACGAAATTCGACATTTTTAAGCGTAAAAATATTTATGACGTTAACACCTTCAGAAAATTTGACATATGAAGTTTTGAAGCTTATTGTCAATACAACAAAATAACAGACATATCAAATCGCATATATATATCAACATATGTGTAACTCCATCTATTGAAAAAATCCGCATTATTAACCGGTACACCTAGTAAGTGGATAAATGAGTGGGTGGATGGATGAGTGGCTAGATGGATACATAACGTTAGGCAGTTGCCCAACTAGGTCTTGAATGGAACCCATCATTGCTGGATCTGACCAAACCATAATCTCTTAAAAAAGAAGCTCCCTTCTCATCCCTCTGTGAATCTGGTCCCCAAATCGGGTTCCATAGTCCTGTGAAAGGGAAACAAGCTTCTGAAAGGCTTCCTTAGACCCCTCTGACTTTCATATCCTCATCAGTTTCCCAATCCAGAAGCCGAACTTTGATATATTTCCTCTCCCTCCCACCCTCCCCATCACCAACTCTACTGCCCAAGTACCCCTGGGATGTATCCTGTTCTCCCCATCCCTCCTGTTCCCACCTTGGTTCAGACCTCATCATCTCTCAGCCTCTTAACTGGTCTCTCTGTTTCCAGACTCACTCCCTATGACACATTCCAACCCCACCCCAGAGGGACCATTCCAAAATGCAGGCCCTTCTTGGTCTGGCAAGGGGCTCCACAGTCTATTAGACTTCACATCCTGGATCCGAGGTTGGGCATTGGAGGTGCTCCAAGATCCCACATACCCAGCCTCTCCGGTTTGTCTCCTGTTGTTTCCTCCATTACACACTCCCCTCCTCCAAACACCCCCCAAGACACACAGACCCACAGACACCCAGACACACGGCAAGGCCACAGGATGTTTGGATCACTCCTTGGGAGTCCTGTCAGCTGGAGCCACAGAATCCCTTTGGGGACTCTGGGAACCAGGCTCCTGAGTGGCTTCAGGGTCTCTGCCTGGGGATAGGGTGTGTCTGTGCCCTCACTGGGTCTGGGTGGTGGTTCAGGCTGAGCATCTGTTGGAGGGAAGGGAGAGCCTAACTACAGACTCCCCCTGCAGAGCTGACGATTAGTAATTAACCGGGAGGAATCACAGGGGTGAGGTTAATCGGGGAACAGAGGGAGGGCAGCTAGAGTTCTAGGGACTTTGCCCTTGACCCGAGGGTATAAAGTGGAGGGTCCCAGCTGCTCTTTGGGTCTTTGGGACTTCCCTGAGCAGCTGCGCAGGAGCTGAGACACAGAATCCTAAGGTGAGCCCAGAGTCCCCTCCTCCCAACCTCATCTTCAACTCTTTTTTTTTTCTCATCTTCAGCTCTTAGTAGAAACAGTTCAATACCCCAGTCCCCCTCTTCCTGCCCCCATAACATCTCAGTACCAGCCCAGCCTGGCTCACTTCCAAAGTGAAAAGGACTTGTGTTCTTCCAGGACTGGGAAATCAGCTCAGGACACGCCCCC